CTAGAGACATGTTTTTTTAAAAGTTGAACTTACATTAATTTTACACGGCTTTCTAAACATGTGTCTCTCTTGTGCGAGACGTGAGTGCAATGGTGATAGATGTCCCTCTAGAACAGTGGTTCCCAATCCTGGTCCTGGAGAACCCCCAACACTGCACCTTTTTGGTGTCTCTCTTATCAGACACTCACATTTGAGGTCTTGGAGTCTTCACTAATGAGCTGATGAGTTGAATCAGGTGTGTTTGAATAGGGAGACATCTAAAATGTGCAGTGTTGGGGGTTCTCCAGGACCAGGATTGGGAACCACTGCTCTAGAAAATGCGACAAATATGCGTTCTGTGTGAACGGCTTGGTTTCAGTTTTGACATAAACAAGATCTTCTCCGCATTGATGTTCTCTTTTTCCGCAATATTTTGAAAAAACAATGCAGCAACGCCGCATCCAGTGGGTTTAACTGGATAGGCTTAAAAAAAGCATTAAAATGCAATGACACTTGCACCGTCATCACATCTCGTGTGCCACTGATAAGGCTGCCTGATGCACACCTACAATTCGAAGGCAACGTTTTTGCATTCAAATGTGGACTTTTATTTTAAATTCGATGAATATTCAAAATTTGAACTTTTTTTTGACAGCCCTAGTAGTCTGTGCGGTGTGTTCAAGCACAGCTTTTTGATCCAGACAAGGTCGACGTGAGACGACAATTCAATTAAATTCAATTCAAGTTTGGATTCCCAAACAAAAGATAAGACTTGAGAAGAAGGAATATGGTGCACTAGACAGTTAGGATAGTTGTATGATGCTTTTTTTGGGTTGACAGTCATTGTACATTCACTAACATCCTTCAAAACTTAACTAGAGTTAGTAAATGACAATTTACATTTATACCTTTAACTATTCCAACTAGTTTTAACAAACAAGTTTGTTAGTTGCATGAATCTTGCAAGCAGGTGAGATGAACAGAAAACAGGAAGGGACGAGTGCTAAACATGAAATGACAAGACAGAAACACATGCAGTTACAGAAAGTGCAGACAGTCCCACAATCACCCTAAACAGACACCTGTGTGGGCCGCGGGGAGGCAGGAGGCTTACGTAACATACTACATAATGCATCTCGAAAGAATTATCACCAAGATAAATTAATAACTTACATATTTTAATAATATATATTTACATTTTAATAACTTAAGATACAATTAAAAGGAAATATTTTTGAGTTTAATGCAACTCGGCTGGTTGTCAGGGTGTTGCTAGGCTGTTTCTAGGGCTTATTTTAAGGCAAGACACCACATGAGAATAGTGTAAAACAACTAATAGATTTCACCATACTTCCCCAGTTGATTAATTACATCAAGTTTTCTGAAATGTTATGTTTAAATACGTAAATGAGGCATTATCTAATTAAAGATGCACTAATTTGCATACATTTTTCTGAACACTGGATAAAGCCAGGTTCAAAATTCTTGTTTGATTTTGTCGACACATTACAGTTAAAGGTTTATAGAGAGGGGATTTTGGATTTCTCTTTTTATCACCCCATAAGTTAGAAAATACTGTCAACAGACCAAAAACAATTACATTTTCGCCATGTTTTTAGGAATAAAATGTTCTATAAATCAGTGTGAATGATATATGGACAAACCCCTCAGTAAAAGCCTTCATAATATAGATAGGAATAAAACCCTAAGTTTTGGTGTATGTAAGTGCTGCTAAAGTGGAGAAAAAAACCCTCAAAGCCTTTAAAGATAAGCATTTTTGCCATGTTTCAGGAATAAAATGTTATATAAACCAATGTGAATGATATATGAACAAACCCCTCGGTAAAAACCTTCAGAATATAGAGAAGAATAAAACTGTAAATTTTGGTGTTTGTAAGTGTTGCTGAAGTAGAGAAAAAAACCTCAAAGCCTTTAAAAAGAATATTTTCGCCATGTTTTTAGGAATAAATTGTTATATAAATCAGTGTGAATGATATACGGACAAACCCCTCAGTAAAAACCTTCAGAATAAAGATAGGAATAAAACCCTAAGTTTTGGTGTATGTAAGTGCTGCTGAAGTGGAGAAAAAAACTCACAGCCTTTAAAGATATGTATTTTCGCCATGTTTTTAGGAATAAAATGTTATATAAATCAATGTGAATGATATATGAACAAACCCCTCAGTAAAAACGTTCAGAATATAGAGAGGAATAAAACCCTAAGTTTTGGTGTATGCAAGTGCTGCTGAAGTGGAGAAAAAAACTCACAGCCTTTAAAGATATGTATTTTCGCCATGTTTTTAGGAATAAAATGTTATATAAATCAATGTGAATGATATATGAACAAACCCCTCAGTAAAAACGTTCAGAATATAGAGAGGAATAAAACCCTAAGTTTTGGTGTATGCAAGTGCTGCTGAAGTGGAGTGGCCACAAGAGGGCGCATCGAGCAAAATATTACTAATGCACGTTTATTCAATGCAATAAAATAACATGACTCTCTTTGAAAAATAGTGCATAATGTTTAAAATACTGTTTATAAACCATATATTTAGAACAACAACAATTAGAAACAAAACAGAATCATGTATGTATGTATAGTTTAATACAAAGGACCGAAAACCAATCACAAAGAGTACTTTTTCATTTAAAAATGTGAGATGCAGTAGGATGGGGAAAAACCGCCATAAACTCTAGAGACATGTTTTTTTAAAAGTTGAACTTACATTAATTTTACACGGCTTTCTAAACATGTGTCTCTCTTGTGCGAGACGTGAGTGCAATGGTGATAGATGTCCCTCTAGAACAGTGGTTCCCAATCCTGGTCCTGGAGAACCCCCAACACTGCACCTTTTTGGTGTCTCTCTTATCAGACACTCACATTTGAGGTCTTGGAGTCTTCACTAATGAGCTGATGAGTTGAATCAGGTGTGTTTGAATAGGGAGACATCTAAAATGTGCAGTGTTGGGGGTTCTCCAGGACCAGGATTGGGAACCACTGCTCTAGAAAATGCGACAAATATGCGTTCTGTGTGAACGGCTTGGTTTCAGTTTTGACATAAACAAGATCTTCTCCGCATTGATGTTCTCTTTTTCCGCAATATTTTGAAAAAACAATGCAGCAACGCCGCATCCAGTGGGTTTAACTGGATAGGCTTAAAAAAAGCATTAAAATGCAATGACACTTGCACCGTCATCACATCTCGTGTGCCACTGATAAGGCTGCCTGATGCACACCTACAATTCGAAGGCAACGTTTTTGCATTCAAATGTGGACTTTTATTTTAAATTCGATGAATATTCAAAATTTGAACTTTTTTTTGACAGCCCTAGTAGTCTGTGCGGTGTGTTCAAGCACAGCTTTTTGATCCAGACAAGGTCGACGTGAGACGACAATTCAATTAAATTCAATTCAAGTTTGGATTCCCAAACAAAAGATAAGACTTGAGAAGAAGGAATATGGTGCACTAGACAGTTAGGATAGTTGTATGATGCTTTTTTTGGGTTGACAGTCATTGTACATTCACTAACATCCTTCAAAACTTAACTAGAGTTAGTAAATGACAATTTACATTTATACCTTTAACTATTCCAACTAGTTTTAACAAACAAGTTTGTTAGTTGCATGAATCTTGCAAGCAGGTGAGATGAACAGAAAACAGGAAGGGACGAGTGCTAAACATGAAATGACAAGACAGAAACACATGCAGTTACAGAAAGTGCAGACAGTCCCACAATCACCCTAAACAGACACCTGTGTGGGCCGCGGGGAGGCAGGAGGCTTACGTAACATACTACATAATGCATCTCGAAAGAATTATCACCAAGATAAATTAATAACTTACATATTTTAATAATATATATTTACATTTTAATAACTTAAGATACAATTAAAAGGAAATATTTTTGAGTTTAATGCAACTCGGCTGGTTGTCAGGGTGTTGCTAGGCTGTTTCTAGGGCTTATTTTAAGGCAAGACACCACATGAGAATAGTGTAAAACAACTAATAGATTTCACCATACTTCCCCAGTTGATTAATTACATCAAGTTTTCTGAAATGTTATGTTTAAATACGTAAATGAGGCATTATCTAATTAAAGATGCACTAATTTGCATACATTTTTCTGAACACTGGATAAAGCCAGGTTCAAAATTCTTGTTTGATTTTGTCGACACATTACAGTTAAAGGTTTATAGAGAGGGGATTTTGGATTTCTCTTTTTATCACCCCATAAGTTAGAAAATACTGTCAACAGACCAAAAACAATTACATTTTCGCCATGTTTTTAGGAATAAAATGTTCTATAAATCAGTGTGAATGATATATGGACAAACCCCTCAGTAAAAGCCTTCATAATATAGATAGGAATAAAACCCTAAGTTTTGGTGTATGTAAGTGCTGCTAAAGTGGAGAAAAAAACCCTCAAAGCCTTTAAAGATAAGCATTTTTGCCATGTTTCAGGAATAAAATGTTATATAAACCAATGTGAATGATATATGAACAAACCCCTCGGTAAAAACCTTCAGAATATAGAGAAGAATAAAACTGTAAATTTTGGTGTTTGTAAGTGTTGCTGAAGTAGAGAAAAAAACCTCAAAGCCTTTAAAAAGAATATTTTCGCCATGTTTTTAGGAATAAATTGTTATATAAATCAGTGTGAATGATATACGGACAAACCCCTCAGTAAAAACCTTCAGAATAAAGATAGGAATAAAACCCTAAGTTTTGGTGTATGTAAGTGCTGCTAAAGTGGAGAAAAAACCTTTAAAAATTCCTTCCACTAGTCAGAAAATGGACCAAAATCTCAAAACTAACAAGTGAATTTTTGCTTGTAGTGTCTTGCCTTGAAATAATGTAACTTGTATTGAACCTAGATGCATATGCATTTATCCATCATGCTTATAATATCTCCAATCAACAAATGCGTCCACCTCCCCTTGCACCCATTCAGGTGTCCCAACCACAGACACATCTCTGCGGTGTCTGAGCACTGATCGGAGGTCAGCCACACACACTGACCTCGCACTTGCTGCTCCAGGTTGAGAATAACGTTTACGGCCTGGTGAAGGACGAGCAGTTTGGTCTGAGGTTTCTCATTGTTCATGTGCAGCTGGCACATACGGCCCAGTTCTTTGAAGGCCTCGTTGATGTCGCGAACGCGCAAACGCTCACGGGCGTTATTGGCCACGCGCCGCTCTTTCTCCCGCTCCGCCTTCACCTCAATCGGCAAATCCTCATCATCTTCTTCATCATCATCTTGACTTCATGGGTCAGAGGAACAAAGGGGTGAGAGGGGTTACAGGCAAAACAATCAGGGCACACTGACAGGGAACGACGCAAACCTCACGTCAAGGTTTTAAAATGGACCAATCAGAAGCTGCTGGAGGTGGGAACGTCGAGTATATTGAGTGTTTACTGATGCAACTTAATTGGCAGTCAAAAGTTTGGAATAATTATGACTTCTCAATATTTTTAAAAGAAGAAGCTTCTTCTGCTCACCAAGGCTGCATTTATTTGACCAAAAATACAGTAAAATGAAAAAAGTTAAATATTATTGCTATTTAAAATAAGTGTTTTCTATGTGAATATATTGTAAAATGTAATGTATTGCTGTGATCAAAGCTGAATTTTCAGCATCATTCAGTCACATGATCCTTCAGAAATCATTCTAATATGCTGCTCAAGAAACATGTTGAAACATGTACGCTATCATTCAATAGTTTGGGGTAAATGAAATTAAGGAAAATTATATTAATACTTTTATTCACTTGAGTAAGTGAAATTGAAGACATTTACAATGTTACAAAAGATTTCCATTTCAAATAAATACTGTTCTTTTGAACTTTCTATTCATCTGTGAATCCTGAAAAATAAAATGTATCACGGTTTCCACAGAAATATTGTGCAGCACAACTGTTTTCAACATTGATAATAATGAGAAATGTTTCTTGAGCAGCAAATCAGCATATTAGAATGATTTCTGAAGGATCATGTGACACTGAAGACTGGAGTAATGGATGCAGAAAATTCAGCTTTGATCACAGAAATAAATTACATTTTAACGTTCACATTGAAAAGTTACTTTAAATTGCAATAATATTCCACAATATTATTGTTTTTTGGTCAAATAAATGCGGCCTTGGTGAGTATAAGAGACTTCTTAAAAAACATTTAAAAATCTTAATTATTCCACACTTTTGACCAGTACTGTATATGTAGTTCTCCTGGGATTAAATGAAGGTTTGCAGGGCGTCAAGTACCTCGATCGCGTGTGGCTTTTCCCGTCTTTCTTCTCATCCTCTGATTTATCTGCAATAGACAGGTTCTCATCATCTTCCTTATCTTCCCGCTTTATATCCGAGCTGGATGAGTGAGAGGAGTGAGGCAGAGAAAGACCTGACAGACAAAAACAAGATGAGATTAGCAACAGAAAACGCTGATCACACTGTGCAACAACAGCACTGTGAAATCATCCTGTAATTCTTTAAAGGTGATGTGTTTGATTTCTGGATGTTAAAATTAGACTCATAAATGTTGAACATTTATGCATTTGGCAGATGCTTTCATCCAAACCGACTTGCATTGCATTCAAGGTATGCATGTTATCGGTTCATGCATTCCCTGAGAACCGAACCTATGAACTTAGTGTTTCTAGCACCATGTTTGAGCTACAGAAATACTTAAGTCTGAAAAGAATGCATGACACAAAGACATTTTGCATGCTTGTCTGCTAAAATACCTGCACAAAGCACATCATTTATGAATCTCAATCAATGCAGTCAAAAGTTTGGAATAATTATGACTTCTCAATATTTTTAAAAGAAGAAGCTTCTTCTGCTCACCAAGGCTGCATTTATTTGACCAAAAATACAGTAAAATGAAAAAAGTTAAATATTATTGCTATTTAAAATAAGTGTTTTCTATGTGAATATATTGTAAAATGTAATGTATTGCTGTGATCAAAGCTGAATTTTCAGCATCATTCAGTCACATGATCCTTCAGAAATCATTCTAATATGCTGCTCAAGAAACATGTTGAAACATGTACGCTATCATTCAATAGTTTGGGGTAAATGAAATTAAGGAAAATTATATTAATACTTTTATTCACTTGAGTAAGTGAAATTGAAGACATTTACAATGTTACAAAAGATTTCCATTTCAAATAAATACTGTTCTTTTGAACTTTCTATTCATCTGTGAATCCTGAAAAATAAAATGTATCACGGTTTCCACAGAAATATTGTGCAGCACAACTGTTTTCAACATTGATAATAATGAGAAATGTTTCTTGAGCAGCAAATCAGCATATTAGAATGATTTCTGAAGGATCATGTGACACTGAAGACTGGAGTAATGGATGCAGAAAATTCAGCTTTGATCACAGAAATAAATTACATTTTAACGTTCACATTGAAAAGTTACTTTAAATTGCAATAATATTCCACAATATTATTGTTTTTTGGTCAAATAAATGCGGCCTTGGTGAGTATAAGAGACTTCTTAAAAAACATTTAAAAATCTTAATTATTCCACACTTTTGACCAGTACTGTATATGTAGTTCTCCTGGGATTAAATGAAGGTTTGCAGGGCGTCAAGTACCTCGATCGCGTGTGGCTTTTCCCGTCTTTCTTCTCATCCTCTGATTTATCTGCAATAGACAGGTTCTCATCATCTTCCTTATCTTCCCGCTTTATATCCGAGCTGGATGAGTGAGAGGAGTGAGGCAGAGAAAGACCTGACAGACAAAAACAAGATGAGATTAGCAACAGAAAACGCTGATCACACTGTGCAACAACAGCACTGTGAAATCATCCTGTAATTCTTTAAAGGTGATGTGTTTGATTTCTGGATGTTAAAATTAGACTCATAAATGTTGAACATTTATGCATTTGGCAGATGCTTTCATCCAAACCGACTTGCATTGCATTCAAGGTATGCATGTTATCGGTTCATGCATTCCCTGAGAACCGAACCTATGAACTTAGTGTTTCTAGCACCATGTTTGAGCTACAGAAATACTTAAGTCTGAAAAGAATGCATGACACAAAGACATTTTGCATGCTTGTCTGCTAAAATACCTGCACAAAGCACATCATTTATGAATCTCAATCAATCAAATGTCATGAAATGAGCATTATAATTCAAAAAGCAGCACTGACTGGTAAAGGTGTCGGACTGGGAAGTGGGCGGGGCCTGATGGGGGGCGTGGTGTCCCTGCAGCAGAGCACTGGACTGTGGTAAACCTGCGGCATCATCACTGTGATTTGACATCTAGAGGAAAGAGCAGGAGACAGTTAATATACGCTGATAGTGTACACTCATCTGCCTTCTCACTCCACATGAGCTGCCCTGAGAGTCACTTTACCAGCATTTCACCATTTAATTTAAGAAAACGATCATCAGATACACTTAGAAACTCAAAGGCCTTTACTACAACCCGCCAAAATAAGGTTTATGCATTCATTTGTTAACTAATATTTTTGATAATTAAATTTGTATTAAATCATAAAAACACAATACAGAAAATTTCTTGCGGGGGGGGGGGGGGCCCAATTTTTAAAATTTTTTTT